ACGCTCGACTCACCCGAATACAACTTTCCGCTCAATCACGAGCGCAGCATGCACCCTTAGATGCGGCGGATGGCGGGCGGCTCCGAGAAAGTAAGCTTATGACAGGCTCGAGGCTCAAGCGCGGGCTTTCGCTTTATATGCTCTGCGCACCTGCAAAATGCAAGGCCTGGCGAGGAGGGACAGCGCAGTCGAGCGGCTAAGACGAGGATGTGAGAGGAGAGCGCTGCGGAACTGTGGGGTTGCGATGTCATGACAAGCGGAGCCGAAGACGGAGAGACAGAGGTGTGATGGACTTACTGATCATCTCTTGTACTTCGGAAAGTTGAGAGGCGATACAAAGGGAGGGGAACCGCTGCTTGGGGAGGTAGGTCTCGCCCAGCGCCTTTCTGCATGCACGTGAGATCTTTCTCTTCACTCGCGACTCGCGACTCACGACTGGAAATTCGTGCGCGCGCGCGCGCGCTCGCGCCAGCGTGGGCGACAAATCAAGTTGGCAAAACGCAGTGCCACCGCAGCGCGCAAAGGCCAATTTGATCCAGGCATCGCCGGATCACTCTCACTCCTCTGTCTCGATACCTCGATGTAGCGACAGTCACAGTCTAGAGTCACTCTTCGAAAGAATGCTCCCAAGCTCACAAGCAAAGTCTTCAATTTTCCGCAGATCCGCCTCATTTCACTTCATGACCGCCTTGGCAATCCCTATTCACTCTATTCTCACGCGAAGCCTGCGACCTCAGCCCGATAGCTGATTGAAGGTACAAGCGAAGTTGGACGGCTCGACCTATGGCTTAAAGTGTCAACTCCCTTTAAGGCATCCCAGCAGGAGGTCTCTATATAGCCTGCGTCGCTACTACCCGAGCCCCGAAGCTATTCTCCTCTCTGTTCAGTTTGGGCGGCAGCAAAGGCGTCTCGGAAGGCGTGTATATGCGTGGCAAGAACTTCGCAGGAGACATGGCAAAGTATGAAAGGATGAAGCAGCGCAAGGAGTCGACGAAATGTGGTTGCGAGATGCCACATCCTTGCTTTATGGGGTAGTGGAGGTGGTCTGAGGTTAATGCGCTGCAGTATCCGCCCTCGGGAAGCAAGTCTATGCATCTGCAAAGGCTGGATAGAAAGCGGCTCCCCCTGTTAAGAGCGAATTTGTCGTCGTCGAAAAGAGCAGTGAGAGGTTCTGCAACATACACTTGTCTTTCGGGACCATTGCTGACAAGGTAGGGGAACATGCCAAGCAGCTTTTCAACAGAAACCGCAGGCAGCGCGCGCACAATCTGTCGATGGGATGGAAAGTGTGTCACAAAGGCGCATTCTTGCCCGAGGCCTTCAACGCAGGGTGCATCACACCGACCAAGCTATCAGCCCAATGGCCTCGAAGTCTGCTCAAAGACACAAACACAATGTCGGCATCGACAAAGGCCAGGCTCATGAAGCCAGATCGCTGCCTCCAACAGCGAGCGGAGAGTATCAGCTGCTGCTGTGCGTCAGTCGCTTTCGCCACACTGGCATTCTCCCTATCTCCACCAGCCTCACGAACATCAGCATCTGGTTCTTGTCACCGGCAACTTTCGACCAGCGACAACGTCATACGGGTTTAAACCTCTTCACAACGATGGGTGGACGCGAAGGCCTGAACGAGAAAAGAGACGGAAGGTACTGCTTTGAGGTGCAGTGGCACACGCACGAGCAGGGGGGTGAGGTTCAGGCAATCTTGATCACGTCGTCGCACTACCATCACCTTTGACCATCCTCACTCATCCGTATCACTACATATGCTGACACGCAATAGAATGCTTCATCGGACATGTATGTGGCTGTCACACTGCATATGCTTGGGAAGACCTTCGATCAATGCTATTGAGCTGTACATGTCCGTCCAGAGCTGACATGCTCGGATTGGTGATGCGGTCGTGAGATATGAGGGGAGCGGGATCGCCGAGCCAAGCGAGGAGAGGCTTGGATGTGCCACACTCAGATAGGAGAGCTGTGCTTGGAATGAGTGGAAGGGCATCAGCGCGCTGTTTACACGTCACCGATGCGGCGGATGTAACATTCCAACGACGCCAGCCACACGTGCCATACTCACAGGCGCTGAGGCATCAGTATCGAGGGATGGTCTTGTTGGGTCGATACTCGATGCCGTCGATGACGGTGAGTAGACGGGAGGCGCCACGTACATCGTCGATGTGACGTTCGCCTGGCCCGTCTCACGTGGTCTCAGCATCTCCGCCGTAGCCAGCAAGGGCAACAGCAGCAAGATCCAGCAAATGAACGAGAAGACTTGGCTCGTAGTCGCGGTCATCTTGTCCCCGTCGCGTTGTGTCGATGAGGGGTGGAGTCTGTGCGTACAGCCAAAGTGGCATGTCAGTAGAGTCTCAGGTTTGAATCTGGAGGTGCATGGAATGTTTCGAAGAGTTCTACGATGAGAACCACCGATGGCGAATGGCTGCGCGAGATCTTCACAGATAGACTTTGACGTGGCGCCGGGGTAGTCAACGACGGATGCCCACCGAATGTGACAGTGATGAAACAACGACGGGCGAACGTCGAGTGCGATGGTGCTCGGTAGGCATCCGTCGAAGGTAACGTGATAGCATACGACAGGTGAATGTCGGGGCATGTTGACTACCGAAGGCGCCACTCGAGCAATGCTCGATGTATGACGACAAGTGAATGTTGTCAAGTTTGGATGCCGGCGTGCAATCATCCACCCACCCGGCAGAACGTGATCAACCGCGACGGGCGTGCTTCGTTCAGGATGGGTGAACGTGATCAACCGCGACGGGCGAGCTTCGTTCAGGATGGGTGACGAGGGCGCGCCGGCGTCTATCTGAGGTACGCGCAGCCTTTGCATCCACCAGCTCCCGACTGGACTAGCCAAGCATTTAACCCATCTAGCCAGCAGAACCGAGACACTCAGACTCGCCAGCTTATAATGTTGCTGACAAGACCTGCAGTGCCCAACGTCCCCTACCACGTCTACCCGTGTAGACTTTTAATGTACTTAATCGTACCGCCCCCCTCACCTCCTTCGACTAAAACAACGGCCCGATATCGTTCGCTCGTGTTCCCTTCCATGCCACAATGATTGAGATCGGCCAGTACGCACCTTTATTTGGAGTGACGATCGGTCTATCGGGCGTGGGGAGTTGGGGGTATAGGGTCGCGCGCACTCAAAGACCGCGTGTAGCACAAGCCCAAAGCTGATGACTGAAGGATGCAGTGAAGCATGTGTATGCGAGAGCCGAGAGAATGAAGGTTGAGAGTCGAGAGAATGAAAGTTGAGAGTCGAGAGAATGAAGGTTGAGGGCGAACGATGCGGGTTGATAATCAATCGGCGGCTTGCTGAACAGGTGCGATGAGCAGGGGATGGATGTATGCATCAGCGTGGATGCAAGGTGATCGTTGAGCTGGTCTTGTACCGCGCATCACCGCTTCTCTTGAAGCGCAAGACGCGCGCCGCCGGCTGTACTCACACTAACCCCTGGCTATAGTCACTCGTGCGTTCACCCTTCAGCTGAGTCACAATAGTGAAGCGTGGTTTAGTGAAAGCCGCTGGTGGAGATGTGTGTCCCAGCGCAATGGGTGTGGGTGGGAGAGAGGGGCTGATGTGCTTTGTGGCACGATACTCCCAACTGATCGGTCGCGCGGCCATCCAAGGCTGCCTGCACCATACCTGCTCCTGCGCAGTGCGGTGCGGTGCGGCCGGTGGTGCAAGCTTGTACGCCATGCCCACCTACGGGACTTGTCGAGTCGTGAGTGCACTCGCTCCCCCCTCAGCCTTCTCAGCACACCAGGGTAAGGGTGCGACCGAGCCATTTCTGCACCATGCACTCGTGACTCTCAACGGTCGAGCTGCATGCAGGAGGTCTCGCTCGATCGAGGTCGGTGGCCAGTGCGAGCACTAGGCCAGTGGTGGCAAGGTTTACGAGCAGCAACCGTTCGCCAGCATCTGCTGCCTGTCATCACTCGGGCGTGCTGACAAGACTTGAAGGGGAGAAGACGATGGCTGTGCTGATTAGCAAGCAAAGAGCAGCTTTGCGCTGCATCGCGAGAGAAGAGCCGGTAGCTCGATGCGCAGTCACTCGAAGCGGCCGATCGCGAGCGTGAAGTCGGATCATCAGTCATAGCGCCGCGTTCTCCTTTAATGGAAAACTTTCAGGCCAGATTCTGGACCTGTGATCCTTCTATTTCTTAGTTGTGGATAATACATCGTGATTGGTACCTAAGATCGGTGATCGCATGATGTATGCGACAGCGCCAAGACTGAGCCGAAATGGGAAGATGCAAAGGGCGCGCCTTGATGGATGATGGTTTGGTGAGGGGCCTCACGAATATGATACACGAGTCTTGAGTATGATGATTTGCTGAACCAAAGCACAAGATGGCAAACGACGCGGTTGCTCATCTCTCGAAGCGTACGGTGTGTTGAAATGTCATACGTCAAGAAATGATGCGCCGGGCGATCCAAACCCGAGTTTGAGTGCAAGAATTGTCGGGAGAGGATTCGTGATGATACAACGCCAAGAGCGCCATGTCTACTAAACTTGTCGCGCTGCCAAGCGTTGACTGCGCCTTGGACGTCTGGCGGAGTAGTCATTGCCTTCCGCCTCATTCTGACCCTCTATGGCGCGTCCCTCTTCGTGGCGTGCTGCCTCGTGGCTCGATTCGTCATTGCCAGCTGCCTCCTGCTCCCCCCAAACCCGGGCCTTTTTCTGCTGTTGAATAGAAGCCGGGTCTATGCCATCAGCGGCAGCTGAAGTATGGCTCATAGAGGCAGTTACCTCGCCCTGCTGGCTCGCAAAAGCGTGATTCAAGAGTAAATTGCACTGGATGTCGAGGATGCTGCAATGGCGAGAAGGCGTATCGTCATGGGTATGGTAAATGCGGTAGATCTGTTCACAATGCAACCAAGACCCCAAAAAGTTCAGCAATCAATGCACCTCAAAAGAATCTCTAGAATCTGTCTGGAAAACCGCCGTTTCTACACACCAGTTCTGCAAAGTAGAGGGATTTGATTGGCGAAGGTGCTGCGTCCGGCCAGGTTTCGTTTAGCTGTTGTGCTGATTCGATACCTGCGTAGAGAAAGGCGCTTTCCGATTTTGAATCCAGCGAAGCGGCGAAGTCCAAGTTGAAAAGCCATGATATCATGGTGTCCTGTATCTTGTCTTGATCCATCGTGCCTTGAGGACGTTGCATTCGAGGATTCTTTGAGATAGGTGTCGAAAAGGAGAGGACGGAGAGGTTGGGGGCACCGGTGGTAAGTACGACCCATTTGAACAGCAAGGAGAGATGCGTTCGCAACACAGAGAAGCTTGTTTCATGCCGTAATCCTGCAATTAGGCATCAGGCGTCTGGCGTGAAGAGGCTGGCAGAAACCTCAGCTTAAGCCCTGTTCGTTGGGCAGAGCGATGCTGCCGAATCAGTCGAAGTCGTCAGAATTGGTATGCAAGGGAGCGCAACGGCCGAACCATATGCATCTGCGCAGGCTTTGCACGACCAAACGCGTGTAGTAGTAGGACAGTTGTGAGTCTTGAGTGAGCTCGATCAACAAACACGTGAATGTCTGCGTGTATGCGCGCGTCCTGCCCTCCCATCCCACTGCCGCGCTTGATGATTGCAACGTTGTGCTGACAGTGCCAGTTTGCGCCGCATTCCCTGGCATGAAATCTGCCTCCAGCTGAGGCATGCCAGGGTGTCGCCCCGTCAAGATACGTCAAAGCGAATCAATGAGGATACGCCGGGCGCATTTGGAAAGGGTCGAGGTGCTGATTTGGTACTTACTCCATCTTTGCCAAATGACTCATCAGGTACGCGCTTCAAATCTTTTGATGGCGTGCAGCTACTGTCGCTGTCAGTGGAGGGAGTGCACTCTGAGCAGCACGAGTCGAGTGATGATGATCCAAATCGCAAGCTGCGGTGCCGTCGCCAGGCAGCTCGATACGGACCAATCGTGAAAGGCAACAGCAGGCCGCATACTCGACTTTACCGCAGAGTCCATTTTGACTGACTTTTTCTTGAGGGGTCTTTGAGCTGTATTCTCGAGCACGAAGAAGACAGCGCACAGTGTAGTGACGATGCGGAGGGCATCCCTTATGAGCATCAAGCAACACCTAGGCTCTGATTTCGGTCGATTGGCCCAGTGGTGAGAACGTGTTTAGCCGGTGTATTCCGGTTGAGCCAGCATCGCCATCTGGACCTGGGTTCGAGTCGGCTGGAGCGCAGTAGTCAATCTCGCACTGGATGACGAGAACTATCGAGTGGATGCGGGACCTGCGTGAAGCTGCATGAAGGTGTCCTCACGCTGCACGCAAGCTCGGTGACCCGAGCGGCGGCGATGAGGGGCATTAGTAGGGCTGTGGAGCAAAGGTAGTCGGGACAACGTCAGCTACACAACCCCACTCTAAATACATCAGGGAGGCTGCGACCGCACGTGGAGGTCCATACCGAAATCACTTTTTTTGCCAAGTCTCGTGTTGACATCGTCTTTGCCTGTGAGGTTTGCCTCCCTCTATTCGACCCGCCGCCATCCCCCACGACAGACGCGTAAGAGCGCAGGCGAGCACTCACAGTACTTGCATGCCCCTACAAAGAAGCTGAGCAGTCTGCCTCTTTGCTGCCTTGGCTGCTCAGCCCGTCGTTCCATCGCGCCCCTGCTCTTGATCATCCAATCAAGCGCCCTCTCATAATGTGTCAGCGTGTATTTATGAGTGCAAGCCTTCTTTCGCATGAAGTGAGCATTCTGCGCCCATCAGGGCTTAGAAGCCTTCCTGTGCGATTCTTGCTGGTGGAGGAAAAGTGCTAGTCCGCTTGCATCGCTCTTCTCCTTGGCCCTGCAATGCCACTGGATGAGAGCGCACCGCTTTGTAGCTAGTATGCAACGCCAGAAGCTCTTGATGCCTCTCATGCAGCTTCTTCGTGGGCTAGTGTTTCAGAAACAGCTTTCAGGGCGCAACTCCAAGCAGGTGACCGTCGCAGCGCGCATCTTCGAATTCGCAGTCGACACTGCTTGGGGTCTGCCCCGGTGCTTGGGGAGACAGCCAGAGAGCCGAGGAATGAGGGTCGGAAACGTGAATCACATCCAGTGGTAGGCTGGGCAGGTGGCAGCGATTGTGGATGACTGCGGCGCTCGAGGCTGAGGCCCGCCAGGATGCGAGATGCTGAAGAGAGACGAGCCGAAGACAAATGGTGATCGTGAATGTGAGTGTCGCAGCGCAGAGTGTGAGTTAAAAGCAGGTTATGCTGCACGCAAGCTGCGCTAGGCAGCGTGAGCGCGGGCACTTTCGGTCACGTGAAGCTGCAAAGGCTGCACGCTGCGCGCGGGGGCGGCGGCCCGAGCGCCGTCCGCGGCTGCAGACTCAACCAAACCCAGCGCGAATGCCGATCTTTGGCTTTCGGAAGGCGAGCTTCCATCCTGAAGCTCGCTGTCTTCCGCCGCTCGTACCACAGCATACATCAGCTGGATGTCTGGTACCACCGCATACAGCTGGATCAGATATCCGTCCACACTCGGGCTCCACACATCCTCTTGTGTAGGCGACGTCGGAAAGCAGGACCAGTCTCGCAAGCCTTCCGGAGCTCAGGACACTGCATCGCTGGGCACGTACGACTTGCACACCTTTGCCAGCATCATGCGCTCTCCTGTCGCACGTTGCAGACATCCGCTGTACTGGACTTCCCCCACCACGACGTCAGAGCGAGGCCGGGCTCATCCTGCCACACATAAAGTTGCTCGCACTCTGGTGAGGCTCGCCTTGCTGTCAAGCACATGATTTGACCCCAGTGCTGCGACACTCGCAAGTCAGCCAGCCAATCAGCATCACCACCGGCGTCTCCGATTGCTCGTCCGATCAGCGCCTGGCTTCAAAGCACCATGCCGCACTTAGGGCTTGGTTGCAACCAGATGCTGCGGTGAGCGCATAGGAGGGTTTATTCGGTATCGAGGCGGCATAGCGCTCAGAAAGGCGAAACTAAGACTGCCATTAGTGAAAGGCTGGGATGGACGACAACTGAGAAAGCATGCTCTCCCCGCTGAGTCGTATCCACTTGACCTACCGGTGAGTCGTTGCTGGAGAAAGACGCATACAAAGGCCAGGCGCTCTGACGCGAGGCTCAAATCTGTTCTTATTTCCAGCCCCTCCCCCCTTGTTCCTGCTATGGCAGCCTGGATGACGAACTCTGAAGCAGCCTGCAGAGCATATAATAGCACTCGTCCGCCAGACAATTGACGAACAGCGACGCAAGCTGTATGCACCCTCCACTCCATCCACTGCCGTTGCGGCCTACTTAGGCGCGAAAGGGCGCTTGCATGATCGGCTTTCCTGATCCCAACACAACATTACAATATTTGGAGCATGCTTTGACCACCAAGCAGTGAGCGAGGCAGAGCCCGCGCGCAGACTCGATGGCAAATGTTAGCTTGTCCTTGCTTGCTTCTACCTATGCGGTGCTCAAACGGATCCAGCTGCTGCTCTGGCACATGACCGACACGAAGATCCAGGCGGTGGCACGACCTCAATCGACTCGCCTTTGCGCTTTCGCACCGCTGTAGCACGGGGTCGAATCCATCAGCAAGGTCGATCTAGCGTCTCGTCACGTCGAGTGAGGAAGGATGGGCGCGGTCCGCATACGTCCAGGATAGCGTCGTCCCGCTCGTAGAATAGTTGTCCGTCAGCTCTACAAGTAAAGCGCCATCTCCGGTCTGTGGTCAGCATGCCTTACTGGTTATGCTGCCCTATACCTGTTTCAGCTGCTCTGCACATGTCTTTGGGGGCATACGAGGTGCTGCTGCGAAGAGCGAGTTCAGAAATCACCGAGACTTCTGACGCCATGCACTCGGAGAGGCTCCAGTTGACGTCCACAAAACTGACGGCGAGAAGGCTTCGATGGGGAGGAAGCGCCGGTCGCCACAGGACGCGCATCTTCAGTGAGAATAACACTCTCCTGCACGGCTTAGGTTCACTGCAGGAAGGGCCGACCTGACGCCATCAGTCCCCTCACCAACCTCAGGCGCTTTCTCCCTCTTGCGCGTTGCGCGTGTTTCCACGTGCTTGCGCTAATGCGTCGTCCCTCCACCAGACAGGAAGTAAAAGCTTAGAGGGCTGGAAAAAGAGGCCTGGCGGAGGCAAAAGGAGAAGGCTTGCCTCCGCGGACAAGAAGATGGAGGTCGGACGGAGGCGAAGAGGAAATGTTCAGCTCCGCCAGATCTGAGTCAGAGGTCTGGCGGAGCTGGGTGACTATTGTTTGCCTGCCCCAGATGCAGAACTGGCGGCTGATGGAGGGTACCGGTCTGCTCCCTCAACCTTCTCTCCGTCCGAGACCTGCTGACTTCGCCTCCACGCTCCCTCTACCAACTGCTACCACTAAAGGGCCAGCTTGGAATAGTCCACGTCATCATGAAGGTATTATCCCGTCGATGAGCGTCTGTCAGTGCGACTCGTCAACGTTAAGATTGTCGTTGATGCCTCATTGAGGGTGATCGTATGGTCGTGGCGGCCAATGCGTGATTGGATTGAGGCAGTTCTACCTGCAGCGTGTGTCAAGGATTGCGAATAGGTAGGAACCTGCGTCGCGCATCGTACCACCATATTCCTCATTCCTGTCACCCGATGCTCATCGGCCCACATTTGCGTTCGTACTAGTCAGATATGGCACCACAATGCTCGTAGAGAGCTCACGATGTAGAGAGCAACCATTTCATCGAGGGCAACGCAAAGCGTGGCGAAGATCGCCAGGATAAATGAGATTACAGTTGAGTGATTTGACGTTGTCTATACACGACGGAAAGAGAGGATGAGAGGCGAGCGAAGCGTCGAGGTGCAAGGGACGACTGATGCGCCGAGCTCTAACAGTGGGGCCGCGAGACGAGCGTAGCGGCGGAACGCGAGCGGAGAGTTGGTAAAATGGCCAGGGCAGCAGCGAGGACCGAATGAGGCGTCGGCGTTCGATAGGGGCGCCGCGAGACGAGCGAAGCGGGGGGAGGGGGCCGGAAGGCTAGCTAAAAGTCGATCAAAGTTTCAGGGGCGCAGCGTGGACCAAGTGGGGCGTCGGAGTTTGATAGAGGCGCCGCGAGACGTCGGGGGGCGGAAGGCCAGCTAAACGTCGGTCAAAATTTCAGGGGAGCAGGGAGAGACACATAAAGCGTCGAGGCTCGGTAGGGGCGCCGCAAGACCTAGCGAAGCGTCGAGGGCGGAAGGCGGGCGGAAGGCGATCAGAGCGTCAATCGAAGTACCAGAGGAGCAGCGAGGTGTCGACGAGTGATGTTGTCATGGCGTCTGTGCAGCGCAGGGAGGTGGGGAAGGATCAGACAGTCGATCAGGAGATCGAGGAAGTGTGAGAATCGTACGTCAAGACTCACAGTAACGTCTCGCCTAGTACCAAGAGGGGCTAGGATGAGCGGTCCTGGTTGGTGGCAGACGAATACGGATGCTTTTCTTTGGTGTCACTTTGGCAGCTGCGACCATCATTGTCGTTGCGGAAGTCGCAGAAGGCGTGACAATCGGAAAGAATTTGCGAATGCCGAAGGCCAGTCCAGCACCAGCGACGACGCAAGCAACGCCACCGACGACAGTCTTGAACGTAGAGAGGCGGAGCTTCTTGCGACTCTGATCTTCGCGACGCTTCTTCAACTTCTTGTGTGCACGCTTGAACTTAAGAATGTTCTTGGCCACCTTTGCGGCGCACATCTTCTTGACTCCCGCGTCGGATATCTGAGTGCGCACATAAAGCAGCGTCAGTTTTCATCCGATGGCAAGTGAACACGGGCCAGGACAGGGGTTTGAACCTCTGGAGGGACGTGAGATTACAGAGTTATCTCTTCGGCCCCCTCCACGCTCGGCTTTCCCAGGGTTATGTTTCGGTGTCCCTTGATACTGACCAGCCCAAAGGCTTCGCGCAGGAGAGAATCGTCGGTGGGGAGAACCCAGTCCAATCAAATATGGGCATGGACTGGCACCGCTACTCTCCACCCCGAAGCCTCTGCCGTGTGTGCCCATGCAAGATCCAGCTGACTTCAACAAAGAGCATGAAGCCAGCCTAGTACATGTCCATAGAGGTACACCGCACGATGAAAAGGTATAAAGCACCGCTGCTGAGATCTCGCTCGTACGCACCTCAGCATGTTGCTTCACGTTCTCTTGCTGAAGTGCCATGTTCTCTTGCTGAAGTGCCACGTTCTTTTGCTGAAGTGCCACGTACTCTTGCTGAAGTGCCATGTTCTCTTGCTGAAGTGCCACGTTCTTTTGCTGAAGTGCCACGTACTCTTGCTGAAGTGCCACGTGCTCTTGCTGAAGTGCGTTGAAGAAGTTTTCGATAAGGTCAAATGCGTGCGTGCCTTGAGTGATGACGGCATGCTGGCCGCCGGTGGTTTGAATGCTGTCTCGCACAATATCGAAGTGAAAGGCTTGTGGGTGTTCGCCAGGTGGAAGGGCGGCCATCTTCGCCGGGTCAATTGGGAGAGATTGGCAGCGGTTTGGTGGATGGAGGAGAGCAGATTACGAGTGGATGAAAAAGAGGGAGGAAGGAGTGGATGGAAAAGAGGGAGGAAGGAGTGGATGGATTGTGTGGCTTAAGGGCATGTTGGAGGGGACTGGAATGAGCTGATCGGAAGCTCATCGACTCGAGTCTGCTGGCAGATATGCAAGGAAGCCGTTGAGCTGGGCCTGCATGGTGCGCGAGGGACCACTGTAGCCCGTACAGTGGCCTGCTACCTCTGCTACGCCCATGACGCTTGACGCATTGACACAAACTGCATGCCGACAGAGTGGGCCTCGATCGCGGAGTGAACGAGTACTGCATCCTTCGAGAGCTGTGTGAAGAGTGGAATATAATCTGAATGGGGAATCGAGAACAGAGAGTACGAGTAACGCTCTTCCAGCTGAGAAGGTCGACGCGCACGTCGGTCAGACGCCTGCTTCGAGCAACCGCGACTCGTGCTAACTGAGAACTCCAGTCCAGATCAAGCAGCGGCGGCAGCAGCAGCAGCAACGATCAAATTTACCATTGAAATCACTTTATCAATCACGTGGACTCAAACTAAAAGCATCGAAACTTATCAAAATCTGGACTCAAGACTTTTGACTCGCAGACTCATAATCCATTCAAATTTTAAAGTCAATCTCTCGATGACGAATTCAATCGTATATCTTGCGCGCCGAGAGCGCCGAGGCCTCGTGGCCGCGCCTCACAAAACTCGTCGGACTTCAAGACTCATCAGGATTTTGACTAATGACTACGTATTACAATCGGTGAAGCGTCGTTCATTCATTCATGATTCAAAGTTGATGACTTCGAAATGTGTTGGTTTAGAAGTCGCTAGGGCAAAGAGGACATGTCAGGGAGTCAAGAAGCATTCAAATTCAAGATTCTTATTGAAGATTGAAGATTCAATGGTTAAAGCTGTTATTGCTGTGCATCACGAGAACCTCACGGTGCGAGCGGATGTCAAGCGCACGAGTCCGCCGCGTACAGCCGTGCAACTCACCCGAGAAGTTCACTTGACTCACAATCGCCGGGTCAGCATCCCTCGACTTTCGATTCCATCGACTGGAAATCCTGCACCTTTCCGGAAGCTTGAATCACGAATGTGGATCACACACAACCATGCATACTGTAGCCCTCAATTAAACGCCATGGAGCAACCAACGACGTCCACCTGACTCGTGAATCACGAATGGCAGATCGATCGAGCTTGACAGTCAAGAGTGACCATTCAATCTTCACGTCGTTTTGGTTGAATCGTTCTTAATTGATCGAATGCTCGGTTTGAAGTCGGGTCACCAATGATCGTTCAAATTCACGGTGATAAGCGAACAATTTAATTTAATTGGAGCTGCTGCTGCTGCTCCCCGCCCCGATTCTCATGATCCAAAACACGTGCGTGCCCATGCGCACCAGCAGGTGAGTGAGTGCGAATCAGAAGAGTCACGAGTCAAGAGTCTGAGTCGTGAGTCCAAAGTCGCGATCGACTTCTCTTCTCGATCCCTGATGCGATGCGCACCTGATTCTCACGTATCCAGACCGCTCTGTGCGCATTCAGCGCAAGACTCTCTACTCACTTGACTTGTGACTCGTAATCTTCTCGATCGATCGTGGCGGCAGCAGCATGCACGCACACTCGATCACAACTCATCAGATGCCATCGGCGAGCAGAGGTAGAAGGCCACTCGAGATTGTGTGCCCGTGCGCGAGGCTTGCACGCAACCTGCACGCCGAAGTCAACGGTTCCCAAGCTTGCATGTCCTGCATGCCTCTGCCAGCAGCAGTCACCACGACTGCCAGCGAACTATGAGCCTGCAATCGACTCAGCACACTTTTGACTCGCCCACCATACATCAGCCTACAACTTTCCCTCCCTCCATCCATCCATCGCTCCATCCATCCATCCAACCCCTCATTCAGACTCGCTTCGATCCAAATTTCTTCTCCTCCTCCCAATCCTCCACCCCAACTCATTGTGCAAGATGCCGCCGCCACAGGCACCCGGTCAGAACGGCAAGAGTACCAATCAGAAACATGTTGCCATCAAGCGCAAGCGCAAGAACAAGACTCAAGACAACACTATTGCTCGTAAAGATGTGACCATTGCCCGCAAAGACGCGATCATTGCCCGCAAAGATGCGTTCATTGCCCGTCAAGACGCAACCATTGAGCAACAGCGCAATCAGATTGGCTCTCTCGAGGAGACTATCAGCAAGCAGGCTCATCGTCTTGAAGGTCAGCGCTTTCTGCTCAAAGACTTGACCTCGGAAATGGAGGCTCTGCAGAGCGAGAACAAGGCTCTGAAGAAAGAGCTCGCTTCCAAGGTGCGTACGTCAACATCTTCAGCGCTCTGAACGGCTGGCTGCGTCGATGTCAGTCGTGTCAGCAAGTCACCAGCGGCAGAGGGGCTCCATTGGTGGATGAGTATAGCGGTGCCAGTCCATGTCCATCGAATGGACTGGTTTCTCCCCATCGTCGATGCTCTCCTGCAATGAGCTCTTTAGATGCTTCGGGTCACGGTGCCACATCTTATTGTGTGCATTGCAGAGGTACCCCGTACCTCATATGCCGTCTACGAACGCTCTATCCTATTGCACGTTTATACCGTCGTAAACACATGGTGGCATACCGAACGAACAGAGAGCAGACTCGCTCAACGTTCGAGGCTCCTGTCGCTTGGCTTATTGCACTTATAGGATGGTTGCTAACAGGCTTTCGTCTGCACGCACAGAGCTCCGACAACGTTGCCACCGAACCATCCACTGCTCAAAGCCGTCTGATCAAAGATACGGCCTCGGACAACAATGAGGCCTAGAAGAGCGAGAACGAGGCGTTGAAGAGCGAGCTCCCTTACTCCACAAAGGTGCGTACTTCGAGATCTGAAGCGGCTTTTGACTCTGCCGGCCTCGCCAAATTTGGTGTTTGCGCAATTGTGTCAGAACGTCTCTATCGTTGAGTCATTGCCCAAAAAGTGCTTAGAATGAATGCTTACAGGCTTTCGTCTGTGCGCACAGGTCACTGCCACCGTCGGGGCCCCAACTTCGAGCAAGAGCAGCTTCTCCAACGTCATCGATGCTATCAGAGGTCGCGACTATGCGTAGTCGATGCAACGATGCCGATACCGACACAGAGCTCCAACATCGAAATTTCTGGCAACGGCGACAACTAGACAGTCGTCGTCGGAATTAAGCCTGCTAGCGCATCCAACCCACACTCCGCCATCATCACATGAA